ATCTTCATCCACTCTTTCTAAACTTTTCTTCTGATATTTCTTTGTTTGTATCTGTTACTCCCAGTTCTCTAAATCTTAATTATATTTGGGATGCCATTCTGAATCCTAGAAGTGCGTTCAGGAAGAACATCACTGCTAATTCCATTTTTCTCCTCCACTCCTTTGTTAATGTCTAACTATCAGAATCACATCAAGGACTAAGAAATACGGCAAGTACAATTATGGAGTTCTGAGAAGAGCTCATAGTCCACTTTCTTACTGGAAAGATTTTTAGTGCTACAGATATATTATGTTCTTATTATTGTAATTTTATTTTATTTTCTTGAAGAAGGCACTACAGATTCTGTATGCAATGACTACATCAGACATAATCTCAACTTTTACAACACTGCCATGTTTGTAACTGACTGACAAACAATATTTCACATATAATGTACAAGCAGATTTATGGCCTATCTTGAAACTAAACTTTACATACCTAGCTCCAATCGTTCATCAGTGTTCACAATCAAACCGAATACTAATAAAAACATTGGGAACTGCCATGTTGTTATTTTACTTCCCACAATCAATTATCCTAACAAGAGTTGCATATTTTACCATGACCAATTATTGTACATCATTTCAGATAATTAAAATATATAACACCAGGTTGGCACATCACCTATACCAAATTTCATGGAAATCGGTCAACTGGTTTAAAATATGAAATGAGATAACACAGCATGGGATTTCATAAGCTTACTTTCTTTCCTTAAGAAAGTTAAGTAGGCTAAAGCATCTCGTGTATTTCACCCAAGGGCCTTCTAAATGCAAGTCACATATTCTCTGAGCCCTACCTGTGGAGTCCATTGGTCTGAAATTATTATCCCTCTATCAAGAAGGCTTGAAGATGTCATCACAATGGAATATATTCTTAAAACTAATATTTTAATAAATGTGCATTACAGAAACAATACAGCAGTATCTTCATTTTAAACATTATTCCACAAAAAATGCTGTATTTTTATCAGCTTGGAATTCACTTCTTCAGATACTAAACAGATACTGCTTGTGTATACTTCATATGCACACACATTTTAATTGTGACTGATGTATCAGTTGCAAGTCTAGTTTAAGTAGTTTATATGCAACCATACTTCATTTCATTGCAGATATTTATGAAACGGTTAAAAAAAAAAGCAAAGCTATCCCTGTAACAGGCTGTGAAGGCCCATAGGGTTGTGAGACATCGAGGGTCCCACATTATCTAGATAATCAGCTCAAAGATGGGGGTAAGGTTGTCAGCCTTACGCGCAAGCCGCGCTCTACTCCCCACAAAAATTATTTAATTAATTCCTGGTACTCATTTCTGTTAGAGGCTGAGTTGACCCCAGGGCCATAGTGCGGCTGGAAGGATTAGGTTAATTGAAAAAATTCAATGACCTCATCGGGACTTGAACCCGCAACCTTCCAGCTTGTAGCATAGTGCCTCAACCAACTACGCTACCGCAGATAATAAACAGACAGCATCTGCAATAGCAATTAATAAGTACTCCAAATATGACAGCATAATGTTCTCAGGGACGTCATCCAATGACTCATTGTACCTCACATCAATATCATAAAAGATTTTTAATAATTTCCCAATGAAATTAAACATTTAAGAAATATTACAAATATATATTATTGTGTGTTTGCTAGGCAATGCGACAAGAAATTGTGTGGGTTTTGGATTTGAACGAATATTTATTGGACAGTCACTTTTACATTTAGTTATTCACAACCGATAAAACCAGATATAACCAGTTAACAAATAAGCTAAAAGCCAAACTAAAAGAACTGAGAGAAGCATCCTTTACAGGTTACATACAAAACCTCAGCAGGTATGATTACTCAATATGGAAGCCTATTAGAACATAAAAAAACCTAAAAAACCTTGCCACCAATATGAGAAACAACACCAACTGCAGGCCCCTGGGCAAGAAGTAATAAAGAGAAATCTGAACCCTTTGCAAAACATTTTGCCAATATATTTACTCCGCATAACGAGGCAAGAGACCGAGAAATAGAACAAAACTTAGCAGCTCCCATAGAAATACAACAAACTCTAACAATCACCTCCCCAAAGGAAATCAAGGAAGTGATCAAATCTTTGGGTTTGAAAAAAAACACCCAGACTAGACCAAGTCACACCAAAAATGCTAAAGGAACTACCAAAAAAAGGAATAGTACTACTAACCTACATCTTTAATGGAATAATAAGAATGTCCTACTGGCTTAAACACTTTAAAATCTCACAAATAATCATGATAGCTAAACCAGGAAAGGATCCAACATAAATCACTTCATACCACCCAATCAGCATCATATCAGTGACGTCCAAAGTTTTTGAAAAACTTATACTTAGAAGAATAAACAAAGATTTGAGGCCAGAAGAGTGGATTCCACACCACCAATTTGGATTTTGTCATGGCCACTCTACCATACAGCAGATCCATCGAATAACAAATATCATCAACAAAGCTTTAGACGACAGAAGCTACTGTACAGCACTGTTCTTAGACGTCAGCCAGGCCTTCGACAGGGTGTGGCATAGTGGTCTGCTATACAAGATCAAACAAATCCTTCCACCATCATATTTTAATCTTCTTAAATCCTACCTAAGTGACCGGAAGTTTCAAATAAGAGTGGGAAACGAAAAATCTGAACCACAACTGATAAAAGCAGGCGTGCCACAGGGCAGTGTCCTTGGCCCAACTTTATACACCTTATTTACATCTGATCTACCTACTTCCTCAAATATAACTCTTGCAACATTTGCCAATGATATAGCTATATTGTCAGTCAACAATGATCCAGAAAGAGCAGCAACAGACCTTCAACATCACCTTAGTACATTACAAAATTGGTTCGAGAAGTGGTGCATCAGAATAAATGAAAACAAGACTTGCTACATAACTTTCACCCTACGAAAAAAGCCGACACCTGACATATACATCAATAATATCCAAATACCACGCAAAACAGAAATAAAATACCTAGGTATGACTCTAGACAACAAACTAACATGGAAGCAGCATATAGTCAAGAAACGAAAACAAGTAGACCTAACCATTAAACAGCTAAACTGCCTAATAGGCAGAAAATCAAAGCTAACAGTCGAAAATAAAATTCTGATCTACAAGACTATAATCATTCCTATTCAGACATATGGCCTGGAACTATGGGGCTGCACCAGCAAATCCAACATAGCAATAATCCAAAGAAGCCAATCTAAGATCCTACAAATGATAGTCGACGCACCATGGTATGTCTCCAACGCAACTCTCCACACCGACCTCGGTATATCTCCCGTACAAGACGTCATCCAACAAAAAAGCAACAGACATCACAACAAAATCATAGTTCATAAAAATCCACTCTTAAAGACACTATCGACAAGAGAAGACAACAGACGACTCAAACGAAACTGGCCAATTGACCTGATTTGAATTAATGAGGATTCACCACTGGATTCCTCCTCATCATGTCATCTAAACACCCATAACATTAGCTTATAGAATGTACATTCTGATTGCTGATGAAACCCCCCCCCCAAAAAAAAAGTTATTCACAACTTATAATGTCTTTGGATGGATACTCCTCAATGCGATGACACTCACACACAGCTATTCTCAGTGAAGTGTCTTCTGCTCTTGCCAAATACCAACACTGCTCTTCTAAGGTCAAATACAAACTGAACTAGACTTTTGTTGCAGCTGGACTCTTACAACTTGCACTCCAACCCAATAGGGAATACTGTGTTGAAGGGTTAACCTTGCCCGCTGCTTCAAACAATTCATGTGTAATGGTGGAAACTCCACTGTTAGGGATTGCTAGCATTCTGATTCCTAGCTGCTGTCATGGGCACGGTGGTCATTGCCTAGGAAATCAACTCTGATCTCCTCAATCATTCCAGTTTTCTGGCAGCATGCCACAATACGCCACACACATATATGCATGAGTGCACTGTTACCCTTTTTGGGTTGACTTTATTCAAGAGATTTCATATAGTTTCAGAAATGGTTGTTCAATTCCTACTTAATCAATGTCTTTTCTTTAACCAGATCAGTGTTTTTACTAACAGAAATTACGCATTATAAATAGAAATTGTTTTATCATCTTATAAGATTTATTATATACTTGAATATATCATGAAAAATTGGTATTGTTCCTCATGAAGGAAATTATGAATCTTTTCTTTTCAGCCACTTTTAGTTAATTTTTTCTTCCTTTAAAAACAAAGGTGGTGGTGGTGGTGGTGGTGGTGGTGTGCTTACTGTTGTGTACTACCAGAAAAGAGAACACTGTGTATGTATACATATATTTTAAATTTGTTGCAGGTTTGAACTGATTATGAAATTAATGAACTTTTAAAACTGCTGAATGAAATCCTTCAGTATAGACATCTGCCCCAATGCGTGCCTTGATAATGTGCTGCTTGTTACAGGGGGATGTTTTCTGCACACATGAAGTAACCACTGCACTGGTACTGTCACAAGTCTCAATCTCTTAATCATGGGAACAAATCTTATATCAGATAGTATGTAGAAGTCCAAATTCTAGATCCTGTAAAATTAAATTCCAATTACAGTGCAGCTGCATTTTATATGATCGCATTCCTGACAGCATTGCATAATTCAAGACAAATTTTGAAACAATTACATGATTCCTGCCAGATTTTTGGGGATTCATATTATTTCAAACTTTACGTATAAAGTGAGACTTTATTAATATTTTCTTATATCAAACTACTTCAAATGAGCATAAAATGCGACTGCAATGTACATAATGAGTGAAATGTAAGTAGTTTTTTTAACCTTCAGATGTTGAACAGAACTCAGATAAGGATATACAGCAAAAATGATCCTGCATTGATGAGGTATGAGCAAGAAAGTGAAGCTTAACTAGAAGCTTTTTATAAATGCAGGATGAAAGGAACACATGACAGAAGGTACAGGTATAATTAACAATATGGCAAACTTATGTAGCCTTTTATTTTCAGGTAAGCAATATGTCACCCCTTACTTTTTCTTGCCTTACAGTTACCACTCCAAGTACTGGGAACAGTGATTCTGCTGCCATAATCAATAACAAAATAATATTATTAATATGGTAACCACATTAGGTACATCCTTATAAATTATATTTCCACCACTAGTAACCACTACATCAATTACATAAAAAAATACCTTTTCTGGTATAAATCTCTGCATCAACAAACATGTAATCTACATCTCCCACCAACAAAACTCACTATACTGAATCGATAAATAGACCTAACTTAATGAACAGAGTAGAACTATCACAGATGTGGAAATCACTGCCCTGCATTGCAGTATGGCCTAGCAAGAATTCCAGTCTATGACTGTTTCTGTAAATGATAACAGGCAAAGCACAAAGTGAAGTAAAACTGTCTTGGAAGACATCCAAATAGGTCTATAGCATTTCTGATTCCTTTCAAAGGAGCTGTGTATTATTTTAACACTTTCATTTCATGGAGAAAGATCATTAAATATATATCAGGTTCTATTATTCTGAGGGAAGCATGTATGTATTTAAACAGCTTTTGTTTGTTTATTTATGGTTTTACCTTGCTGGCTTCTACCTACGTATGGAGGTTGAATTCTGCTCATTCCCCATGATGACATGATGAAGATGATAGCTTGCAGGAGCCTACCTGCTGCTTATGTATCCTCCGAAGCTGATGGGACTGATATTCTGACCCTGTCAGAGGTGGGGAATGGCATAGGCATAAGGATAATCCATACTAAATCCATCCAGTCCCATAAAACAGGAGATCAGTGTCTTAACACTAGACCTTATTAGTCTCTTGCTCTGTTGTGACAACTCAACACTGTACTAAACATACATCTGGGCTGGGTTTACCAAAGGCTTCAAGATCCATCTTATCCTCTGGAAAAGGCCTGCACCATAATTAGACAAATAGGACATGTCTGCACTGTGGCTGGTGAAGTTAAAATATCCATTTCTTGGGCCATCTGTTTCAAATTGCTTTAGCAGGGCAATGTAACAACCAAACTAAACTCACTTGAAACTTGAAAGGAGAATAACTATTACATCTTTTATCTACACCAACATTCATTTAAAAGCTAAAACTGATATATTTCAGACCAGTTTCATCCCCACCACATTAAACAGTGACTCTCAATATGGGTCTCACCGTTCTTTACAACTGTTGACTTGTTAATAAGCTAGAATAATCACCACATAAACCAGAAAATTACTGTAAGCTATAAAAACGATCATTTTATGTAACATACACATGAGCCAGAGCTCACTAACCAGAGGCAATACCAATTGCTAATCCGGCAGCAAATGCCACCAGGAAAATGTGGATCTCCTTTAGCTGGTATGGTTCCTCGCTGTTGATCAAAGAATGATACCAACGCCGTGCCTTGCGTTCCTTCCTCTTCAAGACATCCTCTGCTTTGTCCAGCTTGCGATCTACATAGCGTTCCACCTGATAATAAATTTAAGGTCAGTTTAAACATGTACCACATACTGCACCACGGTTGTCAGGTATGGAACTACTGAAACTCAACATGATGTAACATCCTGGACCAGCTGGTCCAGGACTCCTCATAAACTTTTCCCTTAGGTTCTTATTATCATCATTCTTTCACTTCTGTCGTCCAGACGGTAGATTTTCAAAAGGTCCCCACCAATTTCTGTATGTTTCTCATCTGCCATTCCAAGCCACACATCCAAACAATTTTAAACATGAAGAAAGCAGTCTTCTGGGATGTGGCACCATGTAGATGTGGTGTTAACCGACGTTTCGGAGGAACGTATCGCCTCCATCTTCAGGGTAGAAGGAAAAATAAGAAATCCAAAACGTCAGTTAACACATCTACACGGTGTCACATCCCAGAAGACTGCTTTCTTCATAGTCACCGCCGTGAAAACCTCAAATCTTACACAATTTTAGACATTTTGATTTCAGTGCCTACATACTAGGTTACCAGTCTAAATCAAGTTTCTATCCTGCACTTCCCACCCACTTCAGCCCTTTCTAGTAATGGTGTTTTTTTTTTGTAAGCATATTATATTCCAACACACTTTTATGTTCTTACTTCAAGCTAAAACATACTACATTCCACAACTGAACAGAACGGGCAAAATGACTTTTGGTGACTTTATTGCTAATGTTCTGGAAAGCAGAAAATTGTGGGTCTATAGGGCATCAGCAGTTATGGCCATTTGTGAAAAGAAAGTGTTTTTGAACTTAACACTTATTTTCTTATAATTTCACTTTTTTGTTATTACAGTTCTCACATATTAAACTCTGTAACATCTTCATATAATTATATACATTTTTAATCTTTGGTAGATATTTCCCGACCAGCCCCCTTCTACAGAGAAATTCCACAGTATCTAGGTCTCATATACAGAGTTTTCCTGAGTAACCCCTTTCATGAGTAATGAACTCTGTAACACAGAGGGTTTCATAAGTAATTAACTCCGTGTCATAGAGTGTTTCCCAATAACTACAGTAAATTCCCAGTTATTCTCATTCAAATTCTCAATCAGAAATAATTTTGAAGAAAATTTGTCATTTTTATGAAGTTATTCAAAAACAAATTTGTGATATGCATCTCATCCACCATTGCAGTGCTGTTGCCTTCCCCTACCATAAATGCTACTACACTAGTGGCTAGTTGAATCTTTGATCATGTTACAGCGTATGTACCTAAAATCTGACACCCAGCAATTTGCTGTCGCCTAGGAAGACTCCCAAGCAAGAATTAAAGGAAAAACACACTGTTTGGTGCATCAGGTTTCTGTAAGAGTGCCTCCTTCTCATGCAGCCAGCAGATTCACGTAACAGGCAGACCCCATTCCCAATACAGGCCGGATAATAGGGAGTTTATTGTGTGCGTGCTTAGTATGCACCTTTCTTCAGTATCTAATTAACTGGTACAGGACATTTCCAAGAAGCTGTAGGTACAAAGAATGAGAATAAACCATGTGCTACAGTGTGATATAAAACATACAAAATGTTTTCATCCCTATCAGTACCTTTTCTTCGGTTGGGATCTCTGTGTCATTCAATTTGAATCCACTTTCCTTGTTCTGTAAGGAGAGATTGGCTTAGGGATATACGAATATCTAAATGTGTACATGCCTCTTGGCCTATCACAGTGGCCGTGTGGTCTACGGCATGAACTGTCTTTGCCTGCTCGAACACTGCGATTATGAGTTAGAATCCCAATTGATGCATGGATGTCTGTGTGCATTTATTTTGTTGTTGTGTTGTTCTGTGTATAGGTAGCAGCCTTGCTATGGATTGATCTCCTATCCAAGGAGTCCTACCAACTGTGTATAGATTAAGAAAATGAAAAAGCAGCCAAGATCCACAAGGGCTGTAGAGCCAGAGATAGATAGTATACACACCTGTGCCTAATTTCTAATCATATGCAAGACATAAAACTTTGTATAAATAATTTGCCATTCTACTGATTCCATGTAATCAATATCAACAGTCTTATGAACTTCTACTAATGTAGGACTGTAGTTATTTTCTGTGTATCAGTGGCAAGGTGGCAGCCCACAGTTGGAAGGCAGTTGAGCTGCTTACTCAAGTCATCTTGTTTAGATGTGGCTACTATTTGTATGTTTTGCACTCTCCTCTCCTTAGGCAGGTCACATAAAATTTTGTGATCCTGTGTGTTTTGCAATTCACCCTGGTATTTTAAACCTACATCTGCTGGACAGTAATTTTAAACTTCATAGACAGGATCTTAAACTATGTGAGTTACAATTTTCTCAAATTACTGGTTTTAGATTACAGCCATTAAATTTCAGACAGTGAAGCTAGGTCACAATGAAACTTATGTCTCATAAAATCTGATTCAAAAAGTAAGTTTGATAAAAATGTTATGACAGATAAAAGTTTCATTGAATTCCAACATTTGTGTCATCGTGGCTCACCAGTGGGATATAACGAAACAAGTAACACAATTAAGATCCTTAACTTCTTATGAGGTCTGCTGGCAAATAATCAGAATATCAGTGTAGGAAAAGGTTAATAATATATTGTGATTCATATTAAAAAAATGTTTCAGCAAAATATACTGAATATGTTTAAAAGTTTATAAAAAAAAGTAATGTACACCATGTTTCCTTACATCTTGATGAAGGATCCCAAAATTGTGCAAACAATAAGCCTTAAAAAAGACATGGTCACCACAATAAATCTATATTCAATTTTCAGTTTGATGGTGATAATTAATAATCCAAAGCAGAGAGACAGGTATGATCATATACATACCTACAAATTTCATATGAAATTAATTACAAGGCTACAGTGCAAAACTTTGAATTTATATCTGGGAACTTTTAGATCACAGAGCTAAACACTACTAGAAATTACTGACAGAAATAATCATTAAATTATATAATTTTTAATACATACTTCTTACTGTTGACTATTTCTTCCCATAAATTTTTGTCACGAAACAACATGGAAATACTTACGTAGCCTATAACATTATGTTTGACACTAAGAATGTTTTGAGCAGACAACTGTTAATAGATTGAATTTTTATTCTCCAATTTCATTGCACATACTTTTCCCTTTCTTAGCTATCATCTTATCACCATTTCTGTTGGCACTACAGAGACTTTTATTTCATTTACTCTACAAAACACATGCAAGTACAATCTTTGCCTATACATGCCCCGAGTTGGATTCAAATCTGCAAATGTACCCTTCAAGAGTTTCAGGAACTTGTGCCAGAAAGCTGCACTGTATAATAGTCAGTAATGGAACCTGCTAAGGACTGGACAGCTAGAGTTAAGTTTCTGTCTGAAGAAGGAATTGCTACCATGCTCAAACTAGCTCCAAGATCCACTTGGATTCTCAACCTTAGCTCTTACAACTAAACTCTGGCTACCCAAGAAGGAACCCATTGTATCCACAGCAGCACACAGAAGACTGTATGACTCCTTCCTTACACATGTGAACCACAATAATCTACACTGTAACTTGACACTTTATTTACAGTTATCCTGGCTTGTGCTATGGAAACCATGCAAATGATTAGTCCCATTAATAAATCAGGAAACAACCCTACCAATTTTTCTTCTCTCTTCATGGTATAATTATCTCCATAGAACAGAGTTCTTCCAAAGACAATAATCCCTCTGCCACTTTGTCCCATTATGCTTAGATTCACCTCACAAAATATTGTGTATCAAATATACTGTGATGACCAATTTACTTTTCTTCAGGACCCACCCTATGTATCTGTCCCCCATTCCTACTCCATGTGAACTTGATGCTTCCTTGTCCATGATATGTAAGCAATGTCCGTCTTTAAGTGCACTCAGTTTTACTTGTTACTTCACAACATGTTTCGGCACTACAGTGCCATCATCAGGTGCTCTATTTTTGTCAATCTATTTCATTTCTTGCCATTATGTCGTCGTAAAATTTAAAAAGTATTTAAAAATGTTCGTCAATTATAATAAATATATATACTAAAAACTTGTTAAGATTATTTATCTTATCTGTCCCAATTCTAACACCACGCATAGTTTCACCACTATGGGAGTTGTTCCTCTTATTCTCCTTGTGGTTGTGGGACTGATCTAAAGGATTCATATGTTAATTAACTTATGTGTTGATTGCACAGATACAGCATCAGCTCAGATAAGAAGATAACCATGATTGGTTAAGCAGGCAAGGATTTACTGTATGTTCAAAAAGTATCCGACTTTATTTTTTTCCGCTGTAAGTAATTGCCAAAGAGGTGGGGAAACTGAGCGTAGTGGTAGAAGGGGCTTTCATGCACATGCGTGATTTCTTGCTTACTTGCAACACTGCCGGACACGTCTGTGGCTGCCTGATAGCGAAGTGGTGTAACATGTGTTTGTCACATTCTCATTTCGCTCAAGATTACAGAACGCTTGGAGCAGCAATACTGCATTAAGTTTTGTCAGAAACTTGGGGATACCCAAGCAGAAACAATTCGCAAAATTCAGCAGACTTTCGGCGATGATGCAATGGGGGTCACTCAAATTAAAGAGTGGTTCAACCGCTTTAAACATGGCTGTATGTCAGCGGACAGTGAGCAGCATTCCGGCAGACCGTCAACGAGCTGAAATGCTGATGTCATTGAAAAAGTGTGGACACTGATCATGGAGGACCGTTGTTTGACCATCTGTGAAGTTGCTGATGAGGTTGGGATCAGCAGAGGTTCCGCAAACAAAATTTTAACTGAGGATTTGGGCATGTGAAGAGTGGCGGCAAAATTTGTGCCCAGGCTGCTTTCACCAGAGCAGCGACAACTCCGCCTTGAGGTCGTGCAGGACATGCTGGAGTGCGCCAACAGGGATCCTGAGTTCCTGAAGACTGTGATCACTGGTGACGAGTTGTGGGTGTACGGACATGACCCGGAAACCAAGGTCCAGGCATCACAATGGAAGCATCCAACATCCCCGAGGCCCAAAAGAGCA